CATACGACTGTAACATAAAAGTCGTAAATAAATCAAACTAATAATCAAGAACTTCAAATAATACATTTTAAATGTTTGAAAAACTGCTCGTACAGCTATTGCAAAATGTGTTCCTGTGTGTGTTGTTTCTCCAGGTGAATGTGTGTGTGAGGAATAGAAAACTCCTCTCAGTATTCCCTTGGTGTTTTTCCGGCTATGTGACTGCAGAGGCAGAACCCCCCCACAACCCTAAAGACTTCAAAATTCGCTTCTTTACTCCAATACATCCAAACAAGCCAGACATAATTACGTGGTTCTCTTACTATACACCAGATCAAAAAGCCAAAAAAGGCTGAAACCAACGAGCAAGCACAAAAAACATCAACATGGCCTTCCTGCGAACTCTTTTTGCTTGGCATCAATCAGATCCAGCTTAAAGACATCACACATGATGCCGGCCAATAAATTATCTGCCGATCAACAAACCAAATAATCAACTTCTTTCCCCTCTCATGTGAATATAGCATGTTTTAAAGCCTGAGCCCTAGAGAGCGATACAGTGGCAGTCTAATATACACACTGCAGTGTGTGTGTGTAGTTACACAGACTGTCCTTCAATTGGAGCAAACTGTGTGTCAGCAAGCATCTGCCCTGATCAGTGCCTGAACCTCCACCAGCACAGGGTGCTGCTCTGTAGTCCGACCGTCCTCTGAGGCCAACTGCAACCAGTCTTTTAATGAATTAATAATTAACATATTTATGAAATGCAGTCTGCCCTGGGCTAAGGGCTTTTGTTACTTCTGTCCATCAAGGTCATCCTTTTGTTTTAGTTGCATCATTCAGGAAATTAACTACTCACAGGTGGCTTCTTTTCTATTTCACTGTCAGGATAAGTGAGGCCTTTCTCTCAGTAAGTAGCTGATCCACAACACGCAAGTCGACAGAAAACACTAAATCTAATAATGAACATTACCTTGGTGATCATTAGAGGAGCCACAGCATTAGTATGGAAGTTTTCTATCATCATCTCTGCAGTGACCGTATGGAAGTCGGCCACCACGTTGATCCCTGCATTGTTGATCAGGCAGTTCAGACCCTGTTGTTGTAGCAGCTGCCCCACCTCTTCTACAGACCCCTCTATACTCGCCTGGTTCACTACATCTGGTGGACAGACACATCAACAGTGTGAGGCACCAAAAACAAACAAAAATGGAAGAGAATACGAGCTCAAACATTATCTTAGGGGAAAGAAATGAATAAATAACTCCAGAAACTTAAAATATCTCCAATGTGTACATTGTTGTTTCTAAACAGTTCAAACATACATTGGGGGCAACATGTGCATGCATTTAGGGTTGTTTTGTCTGTTGGTGATTGTATGTCTGAATGAATGTTATTATTCACCTCTAAAAACAGAGTGGGGCTGTGTGTGGGGCTGCAACCATTCTCCCCTGGCTTACCCAGTGTGACTATGTGGATGTTGGGATGTTTCTGTGCCAGTTCCTGAAGTTTCTGTAGGTCAAAAGCACATAATGTCATTGTCCATCCGCACAACCAGTGAGGGAGCAATGGCGCCCTCTAATGTCGTTTCACTTCCATTTCACTACTTGATGCACCTTCGCCCGTAAAGTAGGTCGACTAAGCGTCGTGCAGAACAAGGTTATCGGTCATGTATTAAGGCTCTACGGTGTGTATGGTTAGCTCACAGGCAGCATCAGCAGGTGTTGGTGTTTACCTGTGCTCTCGCCGGCTCTCTGGTCGTGGCTATAATCTTACCGGGTGAGAAACCTCCACTCGCCAGGCTGTCGACTATCTGCAGCCCGAGCCCTCGGCTGGCTCCCGTTACCAGCACAGAGCCGCAGTTCTTGAAATTCACAGCACCACTCATTGCTAATGTTATCTTTACAAACGGCGGCCCGGTGGCGGTGCGCGAGCTCTCTATCCAGACACTTCTCGCGACGGAGCTTTGCTAAATCTGCCGCTGTCGCGCGAGTCCTCCGGTAGGTGGGGGGGTCGCTCTACCTCACCAAAACCAACCGGAGCCTGTACATGGGGGAGACTTGTTTAAACTACAGTTCCTCACACCGTCACACACAGCAGTGCATCATGGGGAGGAGGACGTTTCTAGCTCCGCACATCCAGGATCCTACTTCCCACAATTCATTGCACCCAAAGCTGATTTTGTTAAGAGTGAATACAGTTCCCATTCATCAGTTCAGTCTGGATCAGCAAAATGTTTTCAAATTTCTGTAGATAACAAAACAATATTCCCATTCTTTAAGAAATATGTAATGACATAAAAAAAAGCAACATTTCCCCCAAAATCCGGATGTGATCACAGCTTGGCTTCATGAGGCAGAACATATGAAAGATGTCATATCAAATGTTCATATAACACTATTAAATGTTATTAATGGTTACATACCTGCAGTGTAATGATTGAGTCAGAACTGTCTGTAAATAATTGACCTGCTATCTGAAAGGTGTCCTGAGAAAACTTCCGTTATGATTTGGTCATATACAAATACAATTGAATGGAACTGAATTAAATTCATTTGTTCTTATGACATTCCCAAAATAGACACAGCCCCTCTGGTGGGGACATAGCCGGACTAAGTTACCTGTTACAGCACACCTCCACTTGCTGTTGTATAACATCAGTTTAGAAATGCTAAATGGTGTTATTTAACATGTGACAGTGGTTATTAAAATAGTCAAATAGGTGGCTGTCATTTTCTCGAGGACTGCATAATGTGTTTGCTTCCACTTTTTCATCTTCATTGGATTAGGTGAAAAAAAGGAAAGCACCTCTTTTCGAAACGCAAATGTTGACAATATTAAAATAATTAGATTTTCCTGAACCATCTGATATTTATGATTAGATAGTCTGGCTTTCACGAATAGTAATTTTGTAAAGGAGAGAGGGGATCGACTGTTTGCTTTTGCATTCAGTTAGTTTTCAAATATTGAAGCAAAGATGTGCAGAGATATGGGTGACAGCAAAGCTGATGCAGCTTATGTAGTCACAGCACACAGATGGTTTCTCTGGCAGCCTCCTAAGTCCAGATTTTCTTAAAGCTCCTGGTGCTTGGGAGCAGCAGATATCCTTGGTCTGCTTCAGGTCAGTTAATTTGGAATTTGGCTTCTGTTCCTCCATTTACAGACACATTACTTTGGCACAGAGCACACAGTGCAAATGATGGGGTGTTAGTGGTTCAGTGTGTGGCGCAGAGCTGAGCTCCTGAAGCTGGAGGCTGTTAACTGGCTCCCCTAAGCATGCACAATATTGAGGTATTGTCTCTACACAAAATTCAGCAATCAGTTAATAGCTTAGGTTGCTGTTGGTCTGTTCAGTAAGCGGTGCAGAGGGACAGGACAGACAACATGTGATGTTTCCATTTTTGCAGTTCTGCTGCTACTTTCAACTGTTGCCTACTCAACAAAATCACATAATGAATAATGTACAGGCCATGTCCACCAGAGTTCATTTAACACCCGTATTATTGAAACAGCTGCCTCGAAGCTATATTGACTTTATGACTGACCAAACTGTATGACGGACCACCTGTTACAGTACTGTTGCTGCTTTAACTCCATTGTACACGGTGGAACATGAAAGAAGGCATAGTGACATTTGTAGCAAAGTCACTGGATGTGAACTCCAGATGAAACATGATACAGTTTGACAACCTACCGGTGAAGTTTTTATTTAGGATCATCAATGTTGTCTTTTGGTGTAAGGCTCTGTTTTTGATACATTATTTAATATGCAGCCAACACTTTTAAACACTGAATACATTGGGATACACCGAGATTAAAAGGCACAATGGATTTCTTTGTAGTAGTAAAATTTTACAATTTCTACCACCATAAATTTCCCTGATGGTTGTTCGTCACATATTTTACATCTTTGTGTGCCTTTCTGCTCGAACGAGGTCAAGCAAAATCAGCAGATTGAAGATATAACTTATTAAACATCACTCTCCATGGCTATGTAACATTCAACCAAAGTGAAGGAGAAGTTGAGTCACTCCAGTAGAATTTTCTGTAACTGAAAATGTCCGTATTGATAATTTCATAGTACTTCCTTTCCCTGTATCCCTTAAGGATCCTCTTTCATATATTCTTCCTGAAACATTCTATATTAGCTTGGGGGTAAGGAATAAACATTAATGGGCCATTGGGACTCTGTCAGGAGCCCTATAAAAGCATAAAGCATTGAAAATATCATTGACAATCTTCATTCAAACCAAGAAAAAAGATATTCATTTCTGCAACTACTTTTAGTGTTTTGGATTTCCAATACAATGATCTCACAGAAAACTACACTAATATGACTCTGGGTCACTGTCCCTTTATGTCAAGGATTTTGTCAGTCATGATTAAGTTTATGCCTTATTTATTTTTAATTTTTTTTACTGACCTTGAACAAGAAAGACACAATCAGCTATAAAGTGAGGTTTAACACAGGGGAAAGTTTTTTTAAAAGAATAGTTCTATATTTTGGGAAATATTCTCCTTAAATATCTTGCCGAGAGATAGAGGAGAAGATCGATACCACTGTTTTATCAGTCTGTCTTTATTTCTTTGTACCTCCAGTACAGTACAGAGAATTATTACCCACATCTATAGTCCCCCTCAGCTTTACAGAGCTTCATGGTGTTTTGAGCTAAATTTTACTGTAAAATAAAGTAAAGCTGGTAAAGCCCTCACTGCTCTCATAGCAGTTTTCAGCCACATCAGGCAGCTGTTTTCTGCATAACAGGTCTAAAAACCTCAATACCTGCTCAGCACTAAACAGCAGACACAGTTCGCATCTAGCTAGCATTAAACAGCGAAATGCCAGGTACTCTTAAGAATTGGCAGACACCAAAAACAGAGCTGAAAGAGATCACACCTCCAAGACTCTAAATGAATGATCTTGTTGCTTCGTGACTGCTTGATGTGTAAATGATATTGGATCTATAATTCTAAGCTATATATTCTCTGAAATATAGCTTATATAGCGGGTTACTTAAAAGAACCGGTCTTCTCATCACCACAGTGCCCCTGTTAGAAATGAACAATTAGGACCCAAATGCAGGCAGAAATTGCGCAATACAATGAGTCAGTATACAAAGAAGCTTACAGGATAGTCAGGCAGGCACAGGTAAATACCAGATAAGGTAGTCTTAACTAGTCAGGCAACAAGCAAAATCCAATATCCAAAAGGCAGGCAACGTCCAAGGAAAAACAAAGCAAGGATCCAAATACAAACAGAACTAAACAGTACTTCAGTTAAAGGGTAGGCTGATTTTTTTTTTTTTTTTTTGCCTTTCAACAGTGCTATGCCAGCTGTTCCCCCTATTTTTCAGTCTTTATGCTAAGCTAAGCATCTCCTGGCTATATCTTAATTTGAAGACAGATATGAGTGATATTGATCTTCTTGTCTAGTTCCCGGACAGACAGCCAATACACATTTTTTTCCCAACTGTCAAACACATGCCTTTAAATAGTTTTTGTTCGACACAACCATAAAAAAACTAACAGTGGGTGAGTCGTGACAGCTTGTAACAGAGAATTAGACTTGTTGTGATGAAGTGAGCAATGAGCCAGAAGAGACATTTCTCCTGGTAACATGTAGACCTCATTTGGCCAACCTGCTATTTAAAATAATTTAAAGCCTCTAGACCAAATGCTGGGAGCTTTTTCCCCTGAGAATTCGGCTTTTTATTTGCAATGAACTGTGATGAATTGTTATAGATTGGTCAAATGTTTCAGTAGCAGTCAATCCACCTGCAGTATGAGTTTGCTTTGTATTAACATGTGACATACTGTGGATGTGTGTGCACATGCATGTGTTCAGTGTGTGCATGTGCCTGGCTGTGTGGGATACACAAGAATGTAGGTTGGAACATCCATTTTCAATCACTTATTTAATTCACATGAGCTATATTTAAAGAGATCATAAATAAAATACCAGGGTTCCTTTCGTCAATGAATAAATCATGGCTGTTATCCTCTTGTATTCACATTCTCTTCTCTTTCTCTCCTGCATACAGGGAGTGTAGTTGGCTGCCTACAGTCTTTATCACATTGCTTTATCACAGTGATGTAGATTAAGTGTTTTACATGCAGCATCCTTTGGTTATTCTACTCAGGTATTCACTTATTGAGTTTGCTCATTGTAAATACTGTTTTTAATAACCTGGATGAGTGCTTGCCCTCATCATGTGAAACTCTGAACACGATTTTATGTTTAGTGCTGTTTAATGTCCCGAGGAAAATTCAGTCTGGCAGGAGAGGAGAGAAAATAGTGCAAATCAGTAAAAAAAACAGAAAAAGAAATCACTCAAACATGTTGCAGTTGAAAGCTCCTGGGGAAAGATAGGGACTGGACATTGAGTCAAGATTTTCAGAATACTATTTCCAAGGTCAAGAATGAACCTTTGTGCTCAATAGTACAAATTCTAAAAATGGGTGTGATTCTCCTGTACCACTGTTAAAGAGTTTGAGAAATAGTTAGAGGGCATGAGATAAAACACACAACATTTTAAGTCACATGCAGATTTAGTTCAAAAGGAAAATATTCATCAGCAATCTAACATATTACCAGTAAATGTAGAGGAGTATAGACTTTTGTAGAAATAATGTATAGACAATTGCAGAGACATTTCACTCAGAACCACAAAAGTCAACTTGATGGTGGTGCTACAGGAAACGTCAGGGGATCATCGAAGCCTGTAGGATTCATCATCTGGGAACCATGAATGTCAGAATAGGATCTCATGATAATCCATCCTGTAGTTGTTGAGATATTTCAGCCTGGATCAATGCTGGACCAATCAACTAACAGTTGGCCATGGCACTAGTGTGGCTAAGAGCAAATGGTAAAGTAAGAGGATGAAATGTCACAGTAGCCTTATTACAGTATGATGCTACATAATATTTAGCTTTTACTCTTAATATTGTGTTTTGCTTATTGTCAGTATAACATGCTGTATGAAAACATGTTTTATATTTACCTTTTTGTGAAATAAAGTATGTAGTTTTAGTTTGTCATTTTCTCATCTGAGCAGATTTATAGTTAAAGAACAAAGTTCATCCTGCATCTGTTTGACTTTAAATGTAAAATTGACTCCCAGTTGGTAGCAGAAGGCAGCTTAGTAAGAATGCGTCCAGGGATTGTAGATGCTTCTTTCCTTCTGCAAATGCTTTTAGTTCAGACTCCTCCTGCAGTCCCATGCAGGTTACCACTCACGGTTGATAGTCATCTTAGAAAACTGGAGCAAGTGAGAATTCTTTATAAGTGATCTGCAGAAGTGCGTATTTAAAGAAGTAAGCGTGCCTTTCTCTGTTGATTCAGAAAGTACAGAATGTGTGGAGGCAGTTTCTTTACTTCTGGATGACTGATACAATATTGTTGGAGAGAGACTTATCAAGCGTGGCACTGAGGTATCTACAGTTGTCCAATCTCTCGATGACTGCATCTTCAGCAAAAATGTTTAATTAGATGTGCCTCTTTTCAGCAACTACTTTTTTAATGATGTGGAGTTGTAAGAAATTATTCCCACACCAGTGCACCCACTCCCTGAAGATTTTTTTTCAAAGCCCTCTCCCCCGTGTTTGAAAGTCTGACAACAACAGCTGAGTCATCTTTATACTTCACTACTAAACGGTAATTAAAGATCTCACTTTGTCAAAAAGAGCGAGATAGTGCATAAATATGTTTCAGAGGGAGAAATGTGCTGCTGTTAGTTTTGCTGTTGGATGCAAAGAGTCTTTCTCACAGAACAGGTGTGTGCAAGGGCAGGCTGAGGGAAAGGATGTGCATGTGGCAGCTGGGTGACTGTGTGCAGATTTTTGAATGCTAAACCTAAATAACAAAACATAATTTCATGTGATACACAAGAAAATATACCATGATACAATTCATATAGCTCTGGATTTGAATAGCATTTAAAAAAAGCAATTCCCAAGTACTGCATTTTACTTTTGAGTTGTTCTTTGCAGTGAGACTATGCAACTTCTGAAAGATCTCATTCTTGTAATAAACTTTTATTCATAAACACACCCTTGCTCAACTCGACACTCAGGGGTTTCGCTGTCACAGTCTTACTTGCGATGACTAATGGCTAAAATTAGCTACAAACTTCAGATTGATATTCCTCACATTATCCAGTCAGCTTGATGACTTTATGACTCTTCTCGACTTGTGCTACATTGTGTGTTAGCATTTCAAGCAAGTCATAAAAGCAAAAATCCTGTATGATTTCACTGCTACAACCTTCCTGTAGCTTATATCAGCTATTGTTGCATTGCATTTTCCTGTAATTGCCACTTGTGTCCACTATACTCAGTAAAGGTTAGTCTCACGTTAAAAACTACAAATACATAGGACTTCTTTTCAGCTAAATTCTTATTGCAATTTTAGTGATATGCACATTTTTCTTGTGCAGCTGCATGTCATATAAAGATTTAAATGCTTCTGATTAATTGATGTGGGTTTGCACCAGCTCCACACTGCTTGCTGTATTATTCAGATGGCTTTAAAAGCATGTCAACTCAATTACAGGGGTTTTACGAGAAATATCATGTCCTGTCCTACTATCTCAGGAGTAACATCTCAGCTGAGGAGCTGGGGAAACCACGCACCCTGGATTCAACTGGAAAAGATGAAAAACTCCGATGCACCACTGGAATTTTAGCCAAATCTTTCAGTTGTCAGTTTAGATCATTGTTGAGGTTACATTTTGTAGTTATATTTTATTGCAGTCTTTGTGTAATACCCTCTGCAATCATGTTACTATTGGGCTTTAAAGCTTCTGAGACATACTGTGGTTTCTTTTGAGGTGATGTCAGATCTGATTATCTCCCTTTTAGATTTGCTTTGGTCATTTATGAAAAAAATCTGCAAAAAGAAGCAAAATTTGTTTATGTGAATAGGCCACCAAATATGGAACATCATACTTTTTGGAAACATTTTTTGTTTGTTTTAGCACTTCTGTTGCCAGGTAGCTGTGGCAATTTTTGTTAAACTACATTATCTCAACGCAGATCAAATACTAAACTGGATGGAGACTATGAGGTGAAGAAAATATATTTGAAAATATTAAGAAAAAATACAAGTTGATATTAGGAGTCCCTATCCTAATATCCCAATGAGTTGGGTTGTTGAGACCTTGAAATGTCACATTTGAGGACTAGTAACAGAATAATGGGTAAAAAAAATTTGCTGGCTTGTTCACAGTCGTTTTGGGTCCTGTACCATTAGCGACCAGGTTAGGCTTTAGGGTAACCTGCCTTTTTCAGCGTGTAGGATGCCAGCTCAGAGGTGGTTGTTTCCTGTGGCAAAGGGGATTTTGAAAACAGTAACACAAAGAGGAAGGGGAGGAGAATGCTGCATAAAACTTG